ACTGACATTTGTAATAGTTTGAAGTGATATATTCACTTGTTTGTTGTTGCAAATTACAATACAAAAACCTGATAATAAACATTTTCTGTCATTTTACAGCCTTAATTTTCTATATATTATTCCCAGAGTTTGGTGTACAAAGTTCCACAGTAGCTTTACAGTATTTGAATTACATTTTTGGGGAACGCGGTAATGTAATGAACTACATTTTAAATACAGACATTACGTTGATTACACTGAGCGTAAACACACATATTTGCACACATATTCACATTGCGGGTGCTCGCATTTTCCAGGCACACCAGTTGAAAATCGCGAATCACATTACAAAGACTGACCGTTCAGCTTCATGCTTTGTATAGAATATACACATTTAAGTAGACTAATTACCTCAGACAGACACAGAACACTCAAACACTGCAGTGCTTTTACATACTAAGGATCTCAATGGTTACAGTTATACAGTTTTCTTCATGTCTTCTTTTGTGTTAAAAAAAAAGACAATTAGATTTGGAACAAGTGATTGATGAGAGAATTTTAAGTTTTGGGTGAACTCTTTAAGTCTTTTGAATATGTCAAGCTGCTGTGATCAACCCATTGTAATGTTTTTCAGTGAATATTAAATTACTGAAAGAGCTGCAGTTTATTTTGTATTTCATAGGTATATTTTATATGTTTTAAAAGTAAATTCAAAGTAAAGTAATTAGTAATCTGATTACTTTTCACATGACATTATTAGTAATGTTTTTTTTACTGTAGTAGTCTGTAATTTATAATTTATTACTTCTTTGGATTAACTTAATCAACAATGATCGACCAACAATGATCGACTACTGATGATTTCATCATCAGTAGTCAACAGAACAGAGATCAACATCCCATAATGCAACTCATACCCATAAATTAAAAAGAAAACACCTGTAAATCACATAATACGTTCATTTATTTTATTTTTCGGCTTAGTCCCTTTATTAATCAGGGGTCGCCACAGCGGAATGAACCGCCGACTTGCATCCAGCATATGTTGGATGCAGCGGATGCCCTTCTAGCCGCAACCCAACACCAGGAAACACCCATACACTATGGCATTCACACACACACACACTATGGCCAATTTTGCTCATCCAATTCACCTTTAGCGCATGTCTTCAGACTGTGGGGGAAACTGGAGCACCCAGAGCAAACCCATGCCAATGCATGGATTTGAACATGCAAACTCCACACAGAAATGCAAACTGGTGCTGCCGGGACTCAAACTACCTGCTTGCTGTGAGGTGAGAGTGCTAATCACTGAGCCACCCTGATGCCTAATCACAAAATACAGAACCTGTTAATTAACGGATCTATTTTACAGTGTATGGATGTCAATGGCTACTGATTTTCACCTTTCTTCAAAATATCTTTTGTGTTCAACAATTTTTATAACCACTTGAGGGTGAGTAGTTAACAATCCCTTTAGTTTAACTCAGTAAATTGGTAGAATAACACATAGTTCATCACGCTGACAATAGCATTTAGCTTAGCAAACTCAATCTTCCCAAAGCTGCTTACAAAGTGAGAATGATTAACAAAGGAAATGATGAACACTTTCATATATTGACCAGGTGATAAACCAGCTAATAACTAGTGAGTTTACATAACCTGCAACTAGTACACAAAATACAGATATCCTCATAATGGGCGTCCTAGCACACGACATGAAGGGAGATACAAATCCCCACCTTGTAAACTAGGACATCTATCGCCGAGGCATAACAGACAACACCTGTTCCCCGGAGAGCGATTCATTTCCATCACTGGCCTTCTTACAGTCACAGATAAAAGATAGTCAGCGCTGACAGCCACATATTTTAGACACCCACTACAGAACCAAGCATTCACAACACGACACAAAACAAAGCATTCACGAGCAACTGGAAGATAATAACAGCTTGTGATGGAAGCAACTGCAGATTCGGGAAAGAGCTTTATTAGTGTCTGGACCACCCCGATTACTCAGAACTCTGTTTTAGCATCAATGCGTGCTCTATGAACAGTGGCAGCTGCTTTGGTTTTGTTTTACTGAGAAATCTGTAAACCTTAAAATCCACGAACAAACCCACTGTGAGCTAAATAAAGCCAAAGACATGCTACTAATGGACAGGTACACTATTAAAATGCAGCGTTCCACACCATTCATGTTGTCCTAATACGAATCAGTTAAGTGAACTTAAAATATTTAAGTGGATTGAAAATAAAACAATTGAGTTATCCCAAAGAAATCTTAAAAATTGTGTTGTTTCAGCTCGTTTTAAATAGGTAATTTAAACACTCACTTTTTGAGTGTACTTAACTTATGATTGGGTCAATGAGTATAATTAACAACAAACTTATAATTGGGTTAACAACAAATATAACTTTTAATACTTTAATATAAATAGCTCTGGTTGGAATACAGTACATTTTAAATATATAAAGTTATTTTACTAAATAGCTTTGTTCAGTTTTTAGGTTTTAAAAAATTGCAGCCTGAAATATATAAGTATGATTGACCAGGAAGCGATTTCAACATATGTAAATTATAATAAACTGACTTTTTTTAATGAGTTAATGTAATGGAAAAAACAATTTGTCATGTTTGTTGATCAAAATATAACAACATGATGTAAAATTATAAATATCAAGTTTTGTTAAACTGTAAATAATAATGAAATGTATAGAATGGGGTTTTCAAGCATGCAGAATATAAAAGTGAAAATGTTAAAGCTTTAAATGTGTATTTTTAAATGTGTGTTTGTTTAATTTTAGCAAAAACATATTTTTACCATGAATTACAGATGATAAATTGTCAGTCAGTGTAACGATAGTACAAAAAATCTTATAACAAACTGGTAACACATTGTTTTGATGGTCCAATTAAGTATAAGTAGACTGTCTGCTTAATATCTGTTGATTCTGCTCCTTCAACAGACATTGAACTGACTATAAGAAATTTTGCAAGTACATGTCAACTTATACTAACCCTAACCCCAACCTAACAGTCTACTAGTAATCTAATAAAAATTAATTGGCATGTAGATAATGACTGAAAAATAGAAACATATGCTCACATGACTTGTATATCAGTGTATCAGTATCGGTATACATAAATTAATTATTTTGAAGAATACAGTGCTCAGCATATATAAGTACACCCCTGACAATTTTTTTTTTCATTCTTATTTTTAAAAGGAAGCTATACAATATTATATTTGTGCATTTATATTAGATTATTCAATACTGAAGCCAAATCTGGAGCTTATCTAACAAAATAACTTGCGATAATGGGCCAACTAGTACACCCAAATTTATGTTATAGAAAAATATTAAATATATAATTTTAAAAAAAGAGGAAAAATCAAGATAAGCAAAAAAAAAAAAATAAATAAATTGTGTTAATTTTGTAGGTTTAATTTTTTTGTGTGTGCAATATTTTGCTTTAATTTAATTGTATTATCTTTCCATTTCTAAATATGTTTAGAAACTAAGATATTATTTTATTAAATATATCAGTCTTATAAACCAGTTTTGGTTAAATGCACCAAAATACATTGCCTATATTCACTAAGAAATGGATAAAAATATTATTTTTCAAAATGGTGTGTATTCAATTATGCTGAGCACTGTACCTATTTATCAGGAATATCTTTTTAATGATTTAAACATTTAATACATTCACCTATATCTTTATATCCTATATAATAGTAATAATTTTATATTGTAATTATATTGTATTTAATATTGTAATATTATATTGTGTAATATTAATTGAAATATTGTAATATTATTATAATATTAACATTCTAATATTGTAATTAATAATTGTAATTACTGTCAATAATAATCTATTGCAGTGAATGTATTTAATTAGACAACAAACACCAAAATGTCTTAGATGCATACACAATTCATTAAAGTGTCACATTTAAATGAATATATTAAGCATTATTGTCAATTTCTTCAATTTGTATGCTTGTTATATTGTATTAGGTTAATAAGTACATGTGATCCTTGACCACAAGGAATCAGTCAAAAGTAGGTCCACATGAAATCTGCGTGCGCAGAATTCCGCAGATTTTCAGCCCATCATAGATTGTTTATTTACTAGTGTAAATGTGTGCAAATTTAGATTTATCCAGTTTTTAAATTACTTTAAGTATAATTATTGACTAATATGAAAATATACATATGATTTATTTACAATACAGTTTGTTCAGTCCTATTTTCTGTCCTTTAGTAGAGATATTAAATGAGAGACTTGCTTTGTTTACTAAATAAAGTGGATTTAATTGGATTTGCATTGTAAACATTAAATACAAGTTAAAAATGTATAACTTTTTATTTCATAAAAGAGGTTTTAGTTATAATAATCCCAAAATCATTCCGCATAATCCGCAGATTTTTAACACAATTCTGCTCAGAAATAGCAAAAAATGTCCGCAGTTTCCGTCTGGCCCTAGTGAAAGTCAACCAGTAATTTAGTTTGAAAATCTAATAAATAAACTTTCCATATTATGAATGGACAATATTTGGCCGATATGCACACCTATAGTATTTAAAAATATGTAATCTGAGGGTTTAAAAAAAATGTAAACACTGAGAAATTCCCCTTTTAAAGTTGTCAAATTAAGTTCTTATGCATATCACTACTCAAAGATTGTGTTTTGATATTTACAAATTATATCATGATAACTAATATCCTAATGATCTTAAAGGGCAATTGATTATTCAATGCATATTGCACTAATGCCAAAAATATACCCGTGCAACATAAGACTGGTTTTGTGGTCCAGGGTCACATATATCTGTCTATCCAAAATTCCAAAATCCCAACACATAACAGCAGCTGATGCAATTTAGCTTCAGAGTGCATTCCTGCTATTCAGGCACCTCCAGCTCTGCACTGGCCTGACTGACACACACACACACAGACAAAGATTACAGCTGTAATGTGTCTATAAAAGTGCATTTAAGACACTCACCATGTGTTAAACACAACAGCGCAGGGACCCACAGAAGCCGCAGTGCAGACATCTTCACAGACTTTGTTTTCAGAGTCGAGTCTCTGTCGTTCCCACTCACACACAAACACACACACACTCACAAACTCACAAACTCAAACTAAAGAGAAGGAGGCAAGTAGTCCACGAGACAGCAGATCAATTGCAAATCCAATATGTCCTTTGGATCTCTTATTAAACAGTTTGGGAAAGGAGATGATGGTGGGTTTTACTGTTCAGTTCAGATCCTGAGGATGCTTGCTCTTGTTCCTGCAGATGAGTGTTGTGATGAGGAGTTCAGTGAGAGAGTTTGAGATATGTGACGCCCTCTGTGCACACGATCCCTTCAATAAGTCCACACACAGAGTATTCAGTTACTCCACGAATGAAAAATGAGCTGAGGACTCAAGTTTCAATCACTACCTCTTCTTCTTTCCCTATTTAAATACTCGCAAGTGCATTCTTAATAATAGATATGAATATAGTGATTAAAATTCTCTGATCAATGTCTAATTTTCTAAAATACAGTATATGTTATACTCTGATCAATATTTAATTTCATAAACTAGATTTTGTTAGATATGTGCTATTGTCTTGACAGCGGAAGACTTGCTGTTGAGGTTTTAATGAGAAATGCATGTAGATAATGGAAGACGAGTGAGCTTAACTAAGGATTTTGGGATATGCATTTATGTTGGGTGGTTTAACCTGATGATTTTTAGCAATGCAATCTTTGACACAAATGGAAAATAGATTTAGTTCATGATTATGTGTCTTTGGCTTTGTGCAAACTTACATTCAGTCACTCCCTTTTAGAATAAACAATATTTACATGTGTATTTTTTGTGGATTATTGCTTATGTTAATGCGTGAACTTACAGAGAAATCTCCAATGATCAATTCCTACTTGAAGTTATAGGCGTACAGCCAATTATGATGAGGAATGGGCTGCTAAATGTGTGATGTGAGGAGATTTACATTGCAATTGACATTGAAAACATAGAATTAATCCTTGTCTTTTGGTAAAATAAATGCATATGAAGTTGCTAGCACATGCAGCAAGTGTTTACTATGGCCGGATGTAGTTATGGCTCATGCCATCTGGTAATTTTGTCAAGGCGCCTGTATTTCCAACTGTTAAACATCAAGGCATATGTCTAACAGTCTATAATGATAGCTAATAATTCATCATTCGTGCGTCACACATTATATATAAATGAATTAATTTCAACTACATTCCCATTTAGGACTATATTCAGAGGTTATATATTTCGGCTGAAGGAAAATACGAATATAGGCGACGGTATTTTCCCTGTCAACAATAATAAACGTGCCCTCAGGGTGCTTCCTTTGCTGGTTGTATATATATCGCAGCCTACCGTAACCGATTTCCACAGGTATTTACACAAAATAATCCTCCTTGCCCTCGTTTTGTCTTCCTTCAGCTGGTAAAGATCCACCAAAAACCGTATTCTCGCTTGATGAATTCTCGTTAAATCATTCCGTCGTCCACGCGAGGTGTTTATCTGAGGGAAATGAAGCACATTTTGGGCTTCGTACCCTCATCAATGTTCGGTGCTGAAAGTAAGAGCTGCACAAAAGAATCCGGAGCACCACACCGTTAAACCAAAGCGCGTCGCGTTCATTCGTGGATGCTCCGTTTGGGATAGGCGAGGAGGGACTGGGAGGGCGCGGGGATGGACCATAGATGGGGGAGGGAGATGCGATATTGATGCATTGCAGCAGTATTGGGATGGATGGAAAGCGAGATAGATGAGGGTTAAATGCCCAAGTCGTTATGGCAACGTAAATATATGGTTTATCGAGCGACACGTTCATTCACGCGGTTGGTTCAGGTGTCATTTAGTGCTGACTCGTGATGCAAGACGCGTTTCTTCTCAAACATTCTCGTGACGCCCGGATTATTCGGGAACAGATTATTCTAGAGTCTGGAGGCCAGGAATTTAAAACGAGTGCTCGAACTCGGTGCTTGCTTACATAATTTCTCTCATGAAAATTAAACATGGGTTTACCACAAATAAAACCAACGGTTTCTCGAGTTAAAGGGATAGTTCACCCAAAATATATAGGCTATTTATTACTTGTTTAATCTTCATGAGTGTCTTTTTTCAACACTAAAGAATATATTTTAAAGGAAGTTGAAAACCTCCCTGCAAACAATTTTGTTTAATAGACGTCTAATAAACATCTAAATGCTTGGCTAAAACTAGGCTAATCTTGGGCTGTCAGTGAAATTCTAATGGACATCTAATAGATATCTAAGAATAGGCCAAAATTAGACTAGTCGTCAAATAGACAGATTAGACAGACTTTATTTATGCAGTCATTTCTGTTTATTTGATGGCTAGTTTTGGCCAATTCTTAGACGTCTATTAGGTTTTCACTGACACCCCAATTTTAGCCTTGTTTTAGCCAAGACGACTATGTTTAGATGTCTATAAGACATCTTTTAAAAACCAAAAATGCTTGCCGAGCTAATCATTGATTTTCTATATAGGATTAATAAACACTATGGAAGTAAATGCATGTTTTGAACTTTCTTCAGTTCACGTGGGTTTCCTCCTGGTGCTCCTTATTAAAAGAAGAAAAAATCTCACATGACAATAGTTCAAAGACATGAAAGGTGTAATAAGATTTTAGAGGATCACTTATTAATCTGAGTTTAACTAGTAGTTTTTTTTTCCAAGTTCTTGAAAATCAGCAAACATACAGCCATTGCTGTACGGACAAGGTTGTCTGTTACAGCTAAAGTGTTTGAATCTTTGGTAAATGAACAGTTAAAGTCAATCTTATGTCAAACTCAGTCAGGTTTTAGACACGGGCACAGCACTATAACTGATGCAGTGTCAGTTTCTAATGATATAATCACTGCACTGGATGATAAAAACATCATGTGCTGCACTTTTTATAGATTTATCAAAAGCATTTGATTCTGTGAATCATGATATTTTGTTGCAAAAGCTTTAGTACACGAGTGTTGAAATGGTTCCATAATTATTTGACTGGAAGAATTCAGTGTGTTTAGAAAGGCATACTGTTTCTCTGCTCCTTTAACAGTAAGGTGTTCCTCGGTTCAATTTTGGGCCAATTTTATTCTATATTTATATAAATAAACTTGATAAAGCTATTAGGTCAGCAAATGTACACTTTAATGCAGATGACACATTTATTTACACTATGGCTTCATCTATAAAAGTGGCAAAAGACTCTTTACAAATGAAAGTTTATTTATAAACTAATTTTGAGAGGAGCACGTGCTTATGATTGACAGCAGCTGGTCCTCATTAGTTAATGCATGATTTATCAGACGATTCCTAAATCACTATAAATAACCTGACTATCTTATCTTGGCCATCTTCGTCTTGAAGAATCCCCCCTTCCACCCTTACTCCTCCCCTTTCCTTGTCAGGGCAGCACGGAGGCCCAATGATTAGGATTATTGCCTCACAGCAAGAATCTCACTGGCTCAGATCTTACCTGGCCAAGTCTGCATTTCTGTGTGGAGTTTGCATGCTCTCCCCGTGTTTGCGTTGGTTTTCCCTGGGCTCTCCGGTTTCCTCCTACAGACCAAAAACATGTAGCATAAGTAAATTGACAAAACTAAATCAACATCATAGACAAGCATTGAATTCAGCAAACACTCTCCATAGCTATTCATAATCTACATTCACCATTATCAAGCAGGGGAGTTCTCAAGACCTCAGACTCCCCTCTCACCCTGCAATGGTATTGTATCCCAATGGGACATTGCTGGTTAAGTAAGTAAATAAATAAATAAATAAATAAATTTTTCCTGTTGCATGACCAAAAGTCACATTTGTATGCATACAATCAATTTAAATGTATTCCTTTTACACTATACTATTTTAATAAATTGTCATCATAATTATAAAGCCATATTACTCTGCGTGAGAAACGGATATCCAAGAATATTCCAGCATGTCTGTGAACTGATTGGACTCATTCATATGTTCAACTATTATATTTCAACGACACATATTTAATGTAATTTTTAAAATGTTTTTTTTTTTTTTTATTTAAAGTTGTCTCTAGAGATGCTGTGTGAGATTTTTTTATGTTTTTATTTATTCTGTTAAATTTGTATTTTTATTTAATTATTTTTAATATTATTAATATGCACGTTGACGCAGTGAGTAGCACGTTTGCCTCACAGAGAAGGTCGCTGGTTCGAGCTTCGGCTAGGTCAGTTGGCATATCTGTGCGGAGTTTGCATGTTCCCCTGTGTTCGCGTGGGTTCCCTCCGGGTGCTCCGGTTTCCCCCACAAGTCCAAAGACATGCAGTATAGGTGAATTATTTGGTGGTTTACTCCACTGTGGCGACCCCAGATTAATAAAGCGACTAAGCCGAAAAGAAAATGAATTTAGTAATTATTATTATTATTATACTATACTACTATTTACTGTATTTACTATGTTTATATTTAATGTGTGTGTGTGTGTGTGGGGGGGGGGGGGGTGTTCCTTTAAATGTAATCTTTATAAATGCTTTGGCAATACATTTGTCATGCCAATAAAGCAATTTCTGAATTCAGAGAGGTTTTGAGAATCAGAGTCCTTTCTAACTTTTATATAAAGATGCACAATTTATTTACAGAAGAAACCGTAGGCTTGGAGGAGGGTGGATGAATTATATTTATTATTTATTGGCCTAATTTAAGATTTTTATACAGCTTTTGTGCAGGACACAGCTGCAGATATACACGTCAATATAGCATCATTTTTGTGACAATGTAATACAATAGTACATTTTTACAGTACTGTTACGGCTGGTTTTAGGGTTGGGGTGGGAGAAGACGTTAAAAATACAAATAGGAAATGTTATAAGTGATTTAATTCCAGCCGTAACCTTATCAGAGCTAGCAAAAGCCGATTTCTACCTCTAGAGGGAGCCACAACCTCACTTATGCGAGTCAGATTCATATCTAACTGCAGTATTAAAAATGTGGTGCAAAATATGCGTTCAGAGTGTATTTAAATACTTATATATTATTAAATATACTTAATGAGATTTAAGATGATGTCTGAAAGAACGTCACGAGCTTGAAATGACGCGAACATTCTAAAATAACATTTACATCATCATCAGAACGAGAGTTTCACCGCATTTCACTCGTGATCGCTGCTTACGGCACGTTGAAGCTACTTTTGTTGAGACAAAATCTTCACTCTAGTTTGTCAATATGTGGTTCAAAAACCAAAAAAGTTCTAGTCAGGTTCTGCCACACCCCCCAGAACACCGAGGAGTGAACTCTGCTACAAATATGGAGGTTTCAGCGAAAAACATCAGCTGTGGTTCCTCTGAGTCTGGCCTAAATGCCAGTGTTGAGCCTTCCTCCTCTGTTCTGCTTCGTTCTGGGAGTCGAACACTGAGGATTGACCAGCTTACTCCTCTCTGTCGGCAACTGATTGCCAGGCGCTCAATCCTACCTGCTCTGAAGCCAAAAACTGTTCCTGTGAAGTGTGTCAAAAAGCAGATCTTCACAGATGGACATCTGAAAGCTAGAGCAGTGAGCGCTCCTAGACCTCAGATGAAGGTTTCAGTGAAAGACATCTGCTACCCGTCTGACCTGACTAGTGTTGACCATTCTCCTAATTCTGGGAGTCCAGCAGTGAGGATGGACACACATACGCCTCACCGCCAGCAGTCTGTTGCTGTGCTGTCAAACCTGCCTGTTTTGGAGTCCAAGTATCATGTGAAGCCTGTCAACCAGCAGAGCTTCACAGATGGACCTCCAAAACATCAGGTGAAGGTTTCAGTGAGAAACATCAGCTACCCTGCATGTGTGTCTGGCCTGAATGCCAGTGTTGACCGGCCCTCATCTGTTCTGCCTCCATCTGGAAGTAGAGCAGTAAGGATGGATGAACGCTTGCCTCTCCACCGGCAGTCAGCTGCTGTGTGCTCAAACCTGCCTCTTCTGGAGCCACACCGAGTTCATGTGAAGCCTGTCAACAAGCAGAGCTTCACAAACGGACCTCCAGAACGCAGCATGAGCTCTCCTAAACACAAGACGGAAGTTTCACTGAAAAACATCAGCTTCCCTCTGTCTGACCTGAACGGCGGTGTTGACCGCTCTTCATCTCCTCTGGCACATTCTGGGAGTCCAGCAGTGAGGATGGTCAAACCTACACCTCTCCGCCAGCATCATGTTGCTGCTCCCACACGCTTGTCTGTATTGAAGCCAAGCTGTGTTTCTGTAAAGCCTTTCGATGAACTCCCTTCATGTTCGTCTGATCTGAAAGTGAAGCCTCAACTTTCCTTACCCAGACTGCCAGGCTTTACAAGTCGACTAGTGAACAAGCGTGAGTCTGTACGTGTCCCTCTGTTCACTAATATGCCTGTTCTGAAACTAATCCATGTGTCTGTGGTGTTGTGATTAAAGTTCTCATGTGTTTTCAGTGTCCATTTGAGGATGAGGATGTCAGGACGAAGAGGGCTCAGTCAGCAAAAAGTAACCCACGTCTGCTGTCAAGATTTCCCTCTGCAGTCTGTTTTTGAGTGTACAGAACTGCTACAAATCTTCCTTTGTGCATCAATAAATTGAATATTGAAAAAATATTTGTGCATTTATTGATCTTCAAATGTTTTAATGCTCCTAAAGTGTCTTTGTGTATTTAACTAAACAGTTCTTTGAGCGTCAAGAGGTCATTTTGTTGTCCATAAAAAAAAAAAAACATCAAGACACATGTCAATTCACCATTTCAATTTCACCTATAGCTTTAAAAAGTTTCAACACTGGGCATAATTAAAAATAAAACAATAATTAATCATTTGATTTGACAATTGGTATATATACATATTATACACAAAAATAAAGTTAAAATGCTTTTACAATTTGACACAAACCACTGCAGAAATGATCTAACCAACAGGCCTGTGTCATATACAGTAGGCTACATGTCGTAATCAATAACCTATATAAAATAAAAGCATTAATGTATAATATGTTTTTTGTTTTCACAAGCTTTGGAGCAATGACTGTTAAAACATACTAGCTTTGGAGACATAACATAAATTCGGCTCGGCTGTGTTCAAAATGACATCAATGTTTTCAAAGTGAACTACGAAGGCATCGCAATTGTAAACATGAAGCTCGCTAAAACTGAGCTCTAATAATGCTTTGAAAGCAAATTACACCTAAGACAGATGACTTTAATGCTTTTTTAAAAATAGTCCCAAGTTTAAATGTTAGAATGTTGTAAAAGAATAGGGCATAGGGGGGAAAACTGGGAATAGAACACAGCCAGGAACTATGTTTCTTACTACAGCTCCAGAGGTGTAGTTGCCAGTGCACAAGTTTGTGACGCAGTTTGCGAGTGTTCGTTGGAACGACAGATTTAGGAAATCTCAAATTAACTATGTTTGTAACGACGGAACTTGCAACCTTAGTTGGCAAACAATGGTTTTCAGAAACGCACCCCAGACCAGCAGTATGTCAGCAGATAGCAACTAATCTTTATGAAAATAACATGTTCAAAGGCAGTGAATACATAGTTATTATGTTCATTTTGCATTTGGTTATAATATTTTACACTGTAAAATAATCAGTCATCAATGTAAAACTGTATTTTAATAATTTATTCCCCAAAATTGAGCATGACTGCAACAACATTTAAATAGAAAAATGTCCAAAATTAAACCGCTGCAACAACATAGACTTCAGTCTGTTTATAACTACAACAATATAAAAATATCGTAACTGTCATTGTTGCGAAGGGATGCTATGCAAACTGGGGTAGTTCCAAATGCAGCTTTATTATAAGAATGGTCAATCAGACAAGGGTCAAATACCAGTATAAACAGTGTGGTAGGCAATCCAGAAGCAAATCCAATAAAACAGGCAAAAGGTTCGGGGCAGGCAGAAAAGGGTCAAAACACGATAAACAGTCCAAAAGTCAAAAACACAGGCAACAGGAAACAAGAAAAACTGCTTACGTAAGGACAGCAACAGCTTAACAATACTCAGCAACATGTGTGTGGAACAGAGGGGTTTAAATAGTCCGAAAAATCATGGTGTGAATGGCTTCAGCTGTGAGAGTTTAATCAGTCTGGATCTTGAACACCTGACTGGGTGTTGTAGTCCATAGCATGGCAGATATGTAGTTCAAGGAGTGTGAATGTTTACCAGCGACCTCTGGTGGTTAGCGATCGCTGGTAATCATGACAGTCATAATAGACCGTTCACAAGACATGTGACTCATTTCAATAATAATCAGCATCTTACATCCTTTAAAGTTTTTAATATTTATATTATGTTAAAAAGAGGCAGCATGGCGCGCAGTGGGTAGCACGATCACCAAACAGCAAGAAGGTCGCTGGTTCGAGCACCGGCTGTGTAAGTTGGCATTTCTGTGTGGAGTTTGCATGTTCTCCCCGTGTTCGTGTGGGTTTTATCCGGATACTTCGGTTTCCCCCACCAGTTCTAAGATATGCGCTATAGGTGAATTAAATAAGCTAAATTGGCCGAAGTGTATGTGTGTGAAGGCGAGAGTGTATGGGTGTTTCCTAGTGTTGGGTTGCAGCTGAAAGGGCATCCACTGTGTAAAACGTATGCTGGATAATTTGGTGATTCATTCTGCTGTAGCGACCCCTGATTATTATTCTTTTGTTATTTGAGCCAATTGAAATGCAAATACAGTTTTATTTGTGGTACTCTTCCATTAACCGCTCTCTAAGGCCCAGTTTACACTTTTAGTTTTAAAACGGACAAGTTTTGCTACGGTTAAGACATCCATCCAAACTACGCCGAAGTTTTCGAGCGCCGTAAACAGAGCTTTTTAGAAAACGCTGGAAAGGCCGTTTTTATTTTAAAACGCTGCTGCTCTGTGTTAGTGTGGATGAGGGAAAACGGAGACATCTGAAAACGGAGGCGTGGCTGCAGACATTCGCCTGTCTGATTGGAGCTTTTTCTCAGTATTAAGTAGCCTACACACAGTTCAGTCTTGCATCGTCTCCTTGTAACTTTAGACTCCGCAAGTTTGATATGGAAAACAAACTCCCGAGGACACGTCGGGTAAATCTCCAAAGGGAACAGTGTACTGTATAACCTCATTCACATACCCTGCAGGCTACGTTGTTTCACTTTATTAACAATAAAATAAAAACATGATATGAGGAACTGCCTATTTTATATTGATATTAGCAACTTAACAGACAGCAGAAATGTTGAGGCGTCGTGCAGCTGCATATTTGTATGACCATCATCTTCACTGTAGGCATGTTTATAACATATATAACAGAGCCTTTAACATTACTGCCTTCTTTCATTCTCATTGAAAATATAAAACATACCCTCTCTTTTTACTGAAAATCCGTTTTAATAATCAATAATGGCCATTATAAAAGTATAACATACAATAAGTTTATACATTTATAGGAAATAAACGGAAGCAGTCAGTCAAATGTGCTGAATCAGTGGTTACATTAATATATTAACTTATGTTTGCGCTCAGTAAAAACACGTTACCTGAAAACAAGTAAAAGATTCAAAAGACCAAAGTCAGGGAATATGTCATTAGACAGAGACGAGATGAATTAAATATCACGTTTAACAAATATAGTGAGATTAGATCCAGCGGTAGATCCTTGATGAGCAGTCCAACGTGCACAGCTCTCATCGCTGCAGTGCATGCCAGAGTGTGTGTGTGGTCATGTGATGTGCGTTTTCAGCAGTGTAGTATGGATGGAGAGTTGTTCAGAGAAACTGGGTGAAACGCCAGTGTGGACGTGGATCATTTTCATTCTTAAAACTAAAACGTATTAGTGTAAACGGGGCCTAAGTTTACCCAACTATGATGACTTTAAGAAACCCAAAAATGTGAAAAGGGTCCAGACACAATAAAAGGAAATGTTAAATACTGTAACAATACAGCAGTTTGGTAAACAAATTACAATTAATAATGAAATTGTCCCTAAAACTGAACCAGTGTGAACATATTCATCTTGACAACAGATGAGGCATGAAAAAATTAAACCACAAAAGAAAATGATTATTTCAGTCTGTTAAACTGGCAAGATTTTCTGCTAGGCAATGCTTTTCTCCAATTATTCAAAGTCTGAAATCTTGTTAATTACTGAAAGAGCCCTTGGACTGACCGCAGATCTTAATGTGGTCTTCATTGATCTGGTCTTCTCCACTTCCGATTATTCTCTGATTCCTCTGGTCTTCTCCACTTCCTTCTCTGGGTTCCATTTTAAAAGAAACCTGCTGAATGGAAAACAATCCTTAGTAATAAAACATGGACTATATCATGCTCTAAAATGTTTTAAATTAAAGCTGTGGTCACTCTAGAGTTTGAGCTTGTGAAATTTTGTTTTTCAGCGCTGTGTAAAGGGGCGGTATTAAACAAGATGATTAGACATTTAAAAAAGCAAGTTATTGGTCCTTATTTAAAATTTCTGTCCAGAGCGTTCATGTTTTGATCTTTGATTGGTCTCACACAGTCATGTGAGGCGATTTCGCAGGTCAGAGTTCACCAAGCTTGAACTTTGCAACACAGCGGACTGCGAAACTTGTCACACAAGCCTGCGTTTCCAGTCTGAAGCATTCGCGTGTGTATGAATCTATGGAGAGAAAAGTCCAGTGTGACCGCAGCTTAACAGGACAAGCTTGTAGTGGATGTTTACTAGAAAAACCTCTGTGAGAGGATGTTGTGTGAGAGACTGAGAAGATTGTTCCGTGAATATGTGTGAGAATGCATGTGTGAGTGTGTATATGTGAGTATGTGTGGAGAGTGTATGAATGCGAGAATAAATTCAAGAGAGTGTAAGTGTGAAGATGTTTTTGTGCAACGTGTGTGTATGTGAGAACGCTTGTGAGAGCGCCTGGATTTGAGTGTGAGGATTTGTTTGTGGGCCTGTGTGTGAGAATGTTTTTTGTTTTTTTTGTTTTTACCTTTGCACAAACTCTAGCCTTGCACTTTGCACTCCTGGGTATGAAATGTTCAAGAAGCAGTTTGAGGCAAACATCAATTTCTGAGCATTGCTGGAGATGGTGATGAGTTTTCTCTGAAATTATTGACAGGAAAAAAAGAAAGTTATTTGCAGCCAAAAGGGAACTTCGTGCAAAATTCAAAATGTTTACCTTCAAAAATATTCAAACCTGCCACACAAATTATGCAGTGTACTTTAACGTTGGACAGAGTCCACTTCAGCAGGCAGAGTTTTCCCATCCCCTTTCTGGAACATCTGGTCCAATATTTCACTGAAGTAAAGTGAAGTGTGATCTGTTTTTGCTATTTTAAAAAAGAAGGTATAATTATTCAAGGTAAAATCAATTAGTTTATTCAAGTTGTTTAAAATAATTTTTATTGATTAAATGCTTGCTTGTAAAAACAAAAAGCAAAAGCAAAAGCACATATGGTCTACAGCAGTGGTTCTCAAATCTTTTTCACCAAGTACCACCTCAAAAAAAAAATTTCTCTCCAAGTTCCACCACAATGACCAGTATGATATACAGTGGCTTAGTAGGCCTGATTAAGCAGCTACAGCACTGCACAGTTCAAAAACGAGGCAGATTCATTTTTATTTTTCTATGAGCCTCATCATTGTGTTTCATCACACGCAGCGCGCACATGTGAACCGCGAGTGAAAGAGGAAATAAAAACACACAAGCATACAAGTGTTTTCGTTTTGTGATTGTAGTGTCTGCATGGTTTATTGACATTAATTGTATAAGACACAACACTTTACTTACTGCAGATATTTAGATACTCATATGCTTGCAACGACTGCTATAAACATTGAGAAGAAACATAAGAAACTGTTTCAACAGAGTTCGAAGAGGTCAAGGACAGCGTACTGTGGTTCTGCGTACAGCGCATCTGGTTTCTTTATTTAATTAGGGTATTAAGACTATTGCAACTCTCTACTAGCCGTGCTCCAGCTAACTCAATCAAACCTCTTCAGCTGCTGGTCAAGGACAGCGAGTTGCTGCTCACATCAAATTCAAAGCTCTGATGTTTGCATACAAAGCGACCTCTGGCTGCGCTACTTATCTGCTCTCACTTCTGCAGATTTATAAGCCCTCCAGAAACCTACATTCTGTGAATGAACGTCATCTCGTAGTTCCATCCATAAGAGGGAAGAAATCACTTTTCCCGAACTCTCGCGCTCAATCTGCCCTGTTGGTGGAAGGAACTCCCTAACTGCATCAGAAAGGCAGAGTCACTTACTGTAGATATTTGGATACTCATATGCTTGCAAAGACTGCTATAAGCATTGAGCAGAAACATAAGAAACTATTTCAACAGAGTTCAAAGAGGTCAAGGACAGCGTACTGAAGTGTATCAGTTGTCTGCTGACAATAAAGGCAGAAATGGTCCAGATGACACTTCTAACCAATTATTACAACCGAAAGCCTGTGAGCGTTATCTTCAGAAAAAGATATTCTTTGTCAACTAGGGGCTATGACCTTGGAGGACAAGACTCCTGAAAGACTGCCGAATGCTGATGTAATAGATGAAATGATTTGCTATGTTTGTATTAAAATGTATCACCCTAGAGAGAGAACACAAAGGGATTTCTTCTATATAAACAGATATTCTCAAATGTATCAAACTTTAGATATTCTCAAGTATATCAGACACTAATTGTTTCTTTGCTGTGTATTTACTGGAGGGGACTTCTAAGCCTGTATTCAAGGCTGGAATACTGAATAAAAGGCTGGAGCAGACAGACCAGCAGCGAGCTTAGATTGACTCCTGTATACTGAATGCCTTAGTCCCTTTATTCTCAATGGAGAATAAATCATTTTCACTAGATTTATTTTATTAATAAAAGTATATTTCACTAATTTTATTCTGTGGAGTGGACATTGGCTTTATTTGCAGAACCCATCAAGATACCTTGTGTGATAAGGTATGAATCTAAACTCTTCTTGAACAACATTACATTATAAGGTCCTAAACAAAAGATAAGAAATAGCCAAGGGAGGATTCTGGTTTCTTTATTTAATTAGGGTATTAAGACTATTGCAACTCTCTACTAGCCGGGCTCCCAGCTAACTCAATCAAACCTCTTCAGCTGCTTCAGAACGCAGCAGCACGAGTGGTCTTTAATGAACCTAAAAGAGCACATGTCACTCCGCTACTCATCTGTTTGCACTGGCTGCCAGTTGCTGCTCGCATCAAATTCAAAGCTCTGATGTTTGCTTACAAAGCGACCTCTGGCTGCGCTCCTTCTTATCTGCTCTCACTTCTGCAGATTTATAGGCCCTCCAGAAACCTGCGTTCTGTGAATGAACGTCGCCTCGTGGTTCCATCCCTAAGAAGGAAAAAAAACACTTTCCAGAACTCTCGCATTCAATCTGCCCAGTTGGTGGAATGAACTCCCTAACTGCATCAGAACGGCAGAGTCACTCGCTGTCTTCAAAAAGCGACTAAAAACTCAACTATTTAGTCTCCACTTTCCGTACTAATATGCAATTCCCTCTCTGACTCCTCCACTAACGACAAAAAAAAATAAAATTTAATGCAAATGTAAAATAAAGGCATCCAGTACATGATCTAAATTAGCAAAAGTGAGAAATATCAGGCAGGACTATTTGTTTTATTTATTTATTTATTTATTTATTTATTTATTTATTTATTTATTTATTCTATTTAGTTTATTCTTTATTTCTGTGCTGTTGGAAACACTGCAGGTGTGTGAAGATGTTCTGTTGTTAATATGTTCGCATGTTACAATAAATCAGTATTTTAAAATGGAATATTTAACCACTTAAACTCTGTTGCTATTTGGGGATTTCCGCCTGGATTTTGCCTACCCAAATTTAAAAGCTTCCCAAATCCACATGCAGAGGTGTAAATGCAAAAATTTGGTATCATTTTAAAGAAAACCCTTTGAATTTTCATAAAACACTATTAAAAGTGTTTAAAATAACTGTATATGTCGTCTGTGTTATAATAAACACCTAAAAAAAAGAGGCGCTTTTTGTATTTTTTTTATAAACTCAAATTTGAAACTGTACCTTTTAGGTTCTGTGTGGTCTAGCGTGCTATAATTAATGTTGGTGGTTCCTGCATATGTCTGTAATCATAGGAAAAAAGAAAAATGTCTCTACCATAATCTATGCAAAAGTTATTGCATTCCAACTGATGAGAGGTGCTGTACAAGCCACAGGGACCGATCATTGTTTACATATTTCACTATTCTTTTGTTTGATCGAACATAATTCACTGTGTGCGTATTTATAACAAAACAGAGCCTATAACATGCCTCCTTTTATTTTCTTCTAAAAATAGGAAAGATACCCTGTCTATGCTGAATATCAGTTTTAATAATCAATAATGGCCATTATAAAAGTATTATGTTCTAAAAGTTATTTTTTCTATACAATACAGGAAATAAAGGCAGGCAGTCATTCAAATGTGCAGATTCAGTGTACGTGGTTACATGAATTAATATATTAACTTATCGTTTGCGCTCAGTCAAAATGCAATACCTGAGAACAAGTAATAGATTCAAAAGACCAAAGAGTGACTGAATGAATGAATGAATGAATGAATGAATGAATGAATGAAAATGTGTACTGTTAGTGCATGTGCCTTTAGGAACAGGGTTGGGAAACACTGGCTTAGAGATTGTCATTTTAAATCTAATGTAACATTTAGTTTGTTTGTTTGTTTTATTGTTTAAAGCTAACTGAAATGAAATTCACTGTAAATGAATCAGATTTAGTTTAAATGTACATACTGTCACCCGACAGATAGATGACGAATCAAAGATTTCTGCTTGACTAGTGTATTCAGCGTTTAACTCCACTGTGTTTTAAATGCAACTGTTTATGTTTTTATTGCAATAAGTTTTCCTTTTAAATGTTCGACTGCATTAGTTAATATGATTTGAAGTAATGTTCTCTAATAAATTAGTAAAATGACCCATGACTACTTTAATGTAGTTTGGTATATTTACCTTCAGCACACGGCTCTCAATGATATATATTTATATATTTTTTTATATTATTCTTTCAGGGTTTTCACCTTTATTTTTGACAGGACAGTAGAGAGAATTGACAGGAAAGCATGGGGAGCAGAGAGAGGGAAAGGATCAGCATAGGACCCCGAGGCGGTATCAAACCCGGGTCGCCGCGAGCACCAGAGTGCATGTGTCGACGCACTAACCACTACACCACTGGCGCCGACGATATTTGGTTTTTGGCCCTTTATACGAAAAAGTTTGAGCATCCCTGCTTTAAACCATGTTAAATACAAATTAATTATCGTTTTAACTACACCTTCTATGGTTTAACAATGGTAGGGTATTCATGGTAAAACTGAGTTTATACAAAATTTAGAGTTGCAAATTTAGGAATATAAACTTAAAAATTAATAAATAATTGCTCATTTACCTATAATCAATCTGCCTGCCACACAATCATAATCGTAATTTAACCTTAGAAAACCATGGTAAGAATTAAAAATGACTTAATTACAATAAATATCTGATAGTCTTGATTATATTGTTGAAAAATGTCTTGACTACAAAATACAAGCACAACTGTTTCAGATAAAAACAATGTCAAATATATAAAAGCACTAAATTAAGATGCTTTTTATTTTAAAGCTTAAGTTTTTTTTTCATATTACAGCAATGATGTTTTTTCATATTTGATTTTTTTTTTTGCCATATTTTGATTTTATGAAATATTGGTTATTTTTTAAACAATGAAAAGTGTCACTAACATAATAAAATTCCCACATTCACTATTAAATACATTTATTAAAAGAAGAAAAAATCTCACATGACAATAGTTCAAAGACATGAAAGGTGTAATAAGATTTTAGAGGATCACTTATTAATCTGAGTTTAGCTAGTGGTCTTTTACCAAGGTCTTGAAAATCAGCAAACATACGGCCATTGCTGAAGAGATCCCACTGTGTTAGATAATTATCGTCCTATTTCAAGGTTGTCTGTTACAGCTAAAGTGTTTGAATCTTTGGTAAATGAACAGTTAAAGTCAATCTTATGTCAAACTCAGTCAGGTTTTAGACACGGGCACAGCACTATAACTGATGAAGTGTCAGTTTCTAATGATATAATCACTGCACTGGATGATAAAAACATCATGTGCTGCACTTTTTATAGATTTATCAAAAGCATTTGATTCTGTGAATCATGATATTTTGTTGCAAAAGCTTTAGTACACGAGTGTTGAAATGGTTCAATAATTATTTGACTGGAAGAATTCAGTGTGTTTAGAAAGGCGCACTGTTTCTCTGCTCCTTTAACAGTAAGGTGTTCCTCGGTTCAATTTTGGGCCAATTTTATTCTCTATTTATATAAATAAACTTGGTAAAGCTATTAAGTCAGCAAATGTACACTTTTATGCAGGCGACACAATTATTTACACTATGGCTTCATCTATAAAAGTGGCAAAAGACTCTTTACAAATGGAAGTTTATTTATAAACTAATTTCGAGAGGAGCGCGTGCTTATGATTGACAGCAGCTGGTCCTCATTAGTTAATGCATGATTCATCAGACGATTCCTAAATCACTATAAATAACCTGAGTATCTTATCTTGGCCATCAAAATGTTTTTTTTTTTTTTTAAAGTTGTCTCTAGAGATGCTGTGTGAGAGATTTTTTATTTTTATTTATTTTGTTAAATTTGTATTTTTATTTAATTATTTTTAATATTATTAATATGCACTTTGACCCAGTGGGTAGCACGTTTGCCTCACAGCAAGAAGGTCACTGGTTCGAGCTTCGGCTAGGTCAGTTGGCATATCTGTGTGGAGTTTGCATGTTCCCCCTGTGTTCGCGTGGGTTTAATGTCCAAAGACATGCAGTATGCAGATTCCTAAATCACTATAAATAACCTGAGTATCTTATCTTGGCCATCTTCGTCTTGAAGAATCCCCCCTTCCACCCCTACTCCTCCCCTTTCCTTGTCAGGGCAGCACGGAGGCCCAATGGTTAGCATTATTACCCTCACAGCAAGAATCTCACTGGCTCAGATCTTACCTGGCCAAGCCGGCATTTCTGTGTGGAGTTTGCATGCTCTCCCCGTGTTTGTGTGGGTTTTCCTCGAGCTCTTCGGTTTCCTCCTACAGACCAAAAACATGTAGCATAAGTAAATTGACAAAACTAAATCAACATCATAGACAAGCATTGAATTCAGCAAACACTCTCCATAGCTATTCATAATCTACATTCACCATTATCAAGCAGGGGAGTTCTCAAGACCTCAGACTCCCCTCTCACCCTGCAATGGTATTGTATCTCAATGGCACATTGCTGGTTAAGTTGATAAATAAATAAATAAATAAATAAATAAATAAATAAATAAATAAATACATTTTTCCTGTTGGATGACCAAAAGTCACATATGTATGCATACAATCAATTTAAATGTATTCCTTTTACACTATACTATTTTAATAAATTGTCATCATAATTATAAACATTTGTAGAGCAAATAGCTTAACTGTTTAGTGCACTTGACTATGTGCTATAACACATTAGATTTTTTTGAATGTCCTTTATGAAGCCATATAGTTACTCTGCGTGAGAAACAGATATGCAAGAATATTCCAGCATGTCTGTGAACTGTGATTGGACTCATTTATATGTTCAACTATTTATATTTCAACGACACATATTTTATTTAATTTTTAAAATGTTTTTTTTTTTTTTAAAGTTGTCTCTAGAGATGCTGTGTGAGAGATTTTTTATTTTTATTTATTTTGTTAAATTTGTACTTTTATTTAATTATTTTTAATATTATTAATATGCACTTTGACCCAGTGGGTAGCACGTTTGCCTCACAGCAAGAAGGTCACTGGTTCGAGCTTCGGCTAGGTCAGTTGGCATATCTGTGTGGAGTTTGCATGTTCCCCCTGTGTTCGCGTGGGTTTAATGTCCAAAGACATGCAGTATAGGTGAATTATTTGGTGGTTTACTCCACTGTGGCGACCCCAGATTAATAAAGGGACTAAGCCGAAAAGAAAATGAATATAGTAATTATTATTATTATTCTATACTACTATTTACTGTATTTACTATGTTTAAATTGTGTGTGTGTGTGTGTGTGTGTGTGTGTGTGTGTGTGTGTGTGTGTGTGTGTGTGTGTGTGTGTGTGTGTGTGTGTGTGTGTGTGTGTGTGTTCTTTTAAATGTAAACTTTATAAATGCTTTGGCAAAACATTTGTCATGCCAATAAAGCAATTTCTGAATTGAGAGAGGTTTTGAGAATCAGAGTCCTTTCTAACTTTTATATATTAATGCACAATTTATTTACAGAAGAAACCGTAGGCTTGGAGGAGGGTGAATGAATTATATTTATTCATTATTGGCCTAATATAAGATTTTTAAACAGCTTTTGTGCAGGACACAGCTGCAGATATACACGTCAATATAGCATCATTTTTGTGACACTGTAATACAATAGTTCATTTTTACAGTACTGTGACGGTTGGTTTTAAGGTTGGGGTGGGAGAAGACGCTAAAAATACAAATAGGAAATGTTATAAGTGATTTAATTCCAGCCGTAACCTTATCAGAGCTAGCAAAAGCCGATTTCTACCTCTAGAGGGAGCCACAACCTCACTTATGCGAGTCAGATCCATATCTAACTGCAGTATTAAAAATGTGGTGCAAAATATGCGTTCAGAGTGTATTTAAATACTTATATATTATTAAATATACTTAATGAGATTTAAATGATGTCTGAAAGAACGTCACGAGCTTGAAATGACGCGAACATTCTAAAAGAACATTTACATCATCATCAGAACGAGAGTTTCACCGCATTTCACTCGTGATCGCTGCTTACGGCACGTTGAAGCTACTTTTGTTGCGACAAAATCTTCACTCTAGTTTGTCAATATGTGGTTCAAAAACCAAAAAAGTTCTAGTCAGGTTCTGCCACACCCCCCAGAACATCGGGGAGCGAACTCTCCTACAAATATGGAGGTTTCAGCGAAAAACATCAGCTGTGGTTCCTCTGAGTCTGGCCTAAATGCCAGTGTTGAGCCTTCCTCCTCTGTTCAGCTTCGTTCTGGGAGTCGAACACTGAGGATTGACCAGCTTACTCCTCTCTGTCGGCAACTGATTGCCAGGCGCTCAATCCTGCCTGCTCTGAAGCCAAAAACTGTTCCTGTGAAGTGTGTCAAAAAGCAGATCTTCACAGATGGACATCTGAAAGCTAGAGCAGTGAGCGCTCCTAGACCTCAGATGAAGGTTTCAGTGAAAGACATCTGCTACCCGTCTGACCTGACTAGTGTTGACCATTCTCCTAATTCTGGGAGTCCAGCAGTGAGGATGGACACACATACGCCTCACCGCCAGCAGTCTGTTGCTGTGCTGTCAAACCTGCGTGTTTTGGAGTCCAAGTATCATGTGAAGCCTGTCAACCAGCAGAGCTTCACAGATGGACCTCCAAAACATCAGGTGAAGGTTTCAGTGAGCAACATCAGCTACCCTGCATGTGTGTCTGGCCTGAATGCCAGTGTTGACCGGCCCTCATCTGTTCTGCCTCCATCTGGAAGTAGAGCAGTAAGGATGGATGAACGCTTGCCTCTCCACCGGCAGTCAGCTGCTGTGTGCTCAAACCTGCCTCTTCTGGAGCCACACCGAGTTCATGTGAAGCCTGTCAACAAGCAGAGCTTCACAAACGGACCTCCAGAACGCAGCATGAGCTCTCCTAAACACAAGACGGAAGTTTCACTGAAAAACATCAGCTTCCCTCTGTCTGACCTGAACGCCGGTGTTGACCGCTCTTCATCTCTTCTGGCACATTCTGGGAGTCCAGCAGTGAGGATGGTCAAACCTACACCTCTCCGCCAGCATCATGTTGCTGCTCCCACACGCTTGTCTGTATTGAAGCCAAGCTGTGTTTCTGTAAAGCCTTTCGATGAACTCCCTTCATGTTCGTCTGATCTGAAAGTGAAGTCTCAACTTTCCTTACCCAGACTGCCAGGCTTTACAAGTCGACTAGTGAACAAGCGTGAGTCTGTACGTGTCCCTCTGTTCACTAATATGCCTGTTCTGAAGCTAACCCATGTGTCTGTGGTGTTGTGATTAAGGTTCTCATGTGTTTTCAGTGTCCACTTGAGGATGAGGATGTCAGGACGAAGAGGGCTCAGTCAGCAAAAAGTAACCCACTTCTGCTGTCAAGATTCCCCTCTGCAGTCTGTTTTTGAGTTTACAGAACTGCTACAAATCTTCCTTTGTGCATCAATAAATTGATTATTGAAAAATATTTGTGCATTTATTGATCTTCAAATGTTTTAATGCTCCTAAAGTGTCTTTGTGTATTTAACTAAACAGTTCTTTGAGCGTCAAGAAAATAGTTTTGTTGTCCATTAAAAATTGAAACATCAAGAAACATGTCAATTCACCATTTTAATTTCACCTATAGCTTTAAAAAGTTTCAACACTGGGCATAATTAAAAATAAAACAATAGTTAATAATTTGATTTGACAATTAGTATATATACATATTATACACAAAAATAAAGTTAAAATGCTTTTACAGTTTGACACAAACCACTGCAGAAATGATCTAACCAACAGGCCTGTGTCATACAGTAGGATACATTTCTTTATAAATAACCTGCTATAAAGTAAAAGCATTAATGTATGCTATGTTTTTGCTGAACTATCATAGTACGATGCATCGTTTAGGAAAAGAACAATGTAGTGACAAGTGTTTCCCAAAACCCCTAGTTTCTCTATCGCAGATCCATCATTTGTATCACGTTAGTTATAATGTAAAACACCCAAAATGATGCTCTAAACAGGGTGGAGTAACAACTTCTTTAGAGAAAAAACTCATATTTCTTTGTGCAAATTATATTGTTTTACACGCACACGCTTTAAATAAAAATCTAATATTAGTTTTGGTAAAAGCATGCACTTGCTTTCCATAATGATTGAAATATAAGCAAATGGCTCATATAAGGACAATATTTCCTTTACAAATATTAGAACATTACATATCCTAAAACATAAAGTCACTTACAAAAGCTAACACGTATTCTAATATCATATATAAATAAATAAATAAATAATGAGGCGATTTATTAAGAAATTAAATGTAATATTTATTATTTATTAGAAAATGGAAAAAAAAATCCTACTTTAATAATGATGATGATGATTATTAAGTAGGATATTGTTTGTTTATTTATTTATGTTTGAAGTCTACTTTTACTATTTGACACAAACCACTGCAGAAATGTTCTAACCAACAGGCCCGTGTCATATACAGTAGGCTACATGTCGTAATCAATAACCTATATAAAATAAAAGCATTAATGTATGATATGTTTTTTGTTTTCACAAGCTTTGGAACAATGACTGTTAAAACATACTAGCTTTGGAGACATAACATAAATTCGGCTCGGCTGTGTTCAAAATGACATCAATGTTTTCAAAGTGCACTACGAAGGCAACGCAATTGTAAACATGAAGCTCGCTAAAACTGAGCTCTAATAATGCTTTGAAAGCAAATTACACCTAAGACAGATGACTTTAATGCTTTTTTAAAAATAGTCCCAAGTTTAAATGTTAGAATGTTGTAAAAGAATAGGGCATAGGGGGGAAAACTGGGAATAGAACACAGCCAGGAACTATGTTTCTTACTACAGCTCCAGAGGTGTAGTTGCCAGTGCACAAGTTTGCGACACAGTTTGCGAGTGTTCGTTGGAACGACAGATTTAGGAAATCTCAAATTAACTATGTTTGTAACAACAGAACTTGCAACCTTAGTTGGCTAACAATGGTTTTCAGAAACGCACCCCAGACCAGCAGTATGTCAGCAGATAGCAACCAATTTTTATGAAAATAACATGATCAAAGGCAGTGAATACATAGTTATTATGTTCATTTTGCATTTGGTTATAATATTTTACACTGTAAAATAATCAGTCATAAATGTAAAACTGTATTTTAATAATTTATTCCCCAAAATTGAGCATGACTGCAACAACATTTAAATAGAAAAATGTCCAAAATTAAACCGCTGCAACAACATAGACTTCAGTTTGTTTATAACTACAACAATATAAAAATATCGTAACTGTCATTGTTGCGAAGGGATGCTA